TTTCCTTCTCTAGGTTATTTTGCAAATGAGGAAACTGAGGCAAACAAGGGTAAGTGACTTGCCCAGGGTCACACAGCTAGTAAGTGTCTGAGGCTGTATTTGAACTCATGTAGATGAGTCTTCCTGATTCCAAGCCTGGCACTCTGTGCATCATGGCACCACCTAGCTGCCTTCTTCTTTTGTAATACTATGTATTTTGTTTTAAGTATTTCAAATCACTATTCTGAGAAAGATTTCTGAGATATTATGCTAAGAAAGGCTTTGGAACACTTCCAAATAAGTCTAGGATACAAAAATATTTAAGAACCCCTGTTGCAGAGAGGCTCCTGGACACGGGGGGATTGTGACTTGCCCAGGCACGTGGTACCATATGTGTGAAGAGTGGGACTTGAACAGGGGTCTTTCTGACCTGGATGCCAGGTCTCTACCCACTACCCAACACTGTTTCTTTAGACACCAGCCTGGCATCTAGCAATCACCCAAGGGGTAGTTGTTTTTTGAGCCAAGGCTTTGTGCCAATGTAGAGTCCACAAGGCCAAAGCATTAGCAGTGATTGGGTATAACAAATAGGGATCGCAGCTGCTATCAAATGATATCCTTTACATGTGCGCAGAATGGAAAGACAAGCTGGACATGCATCACTCAGTCTCTTTGGCCCCACCTGCACACATGCATGGCCACAGCCCTCAAGAGGATTCATTTCCAATCTGAAGGACAGCCACACATACTCACAGCTAATGAAAGTGAGGCTAACTGACATACTCCTTTTTAAACCGCTTTCCCCAAGTTTTTTAGGTATATAGGAAAACACTGCCTCCCAGAAACGGACTGCAATGCCGTTGAAACCAATGTGATTTTATAATCATCAGGGTAATTATGCTCATGCCTATGACCTCAGAATTATCCCAGGCCCCTCTGCCAGCATGACATTGCTTTTAAAATTCTGCAGTTTCCCCGTGCCAGTGTGTGTTGGCTTGCTTGGTTACACTTCAGCGGCCAGGGCTGAAATAAACAATTCAGAAAGGTTTTGTGTAATGTGCAGGTCAGGCCGGGTGATAGTAATCAGTCCATTTATTCCTTCATTCACTCGTTAAATATGTATTGAATGCCTACTATGTGCAAGGCACTGTAAAGGGATATAAAGATATGAAATAAATCTCTCATTTACTAAGGGCAGGGACCATAAGGCAGGTATGTAAGTATATTTCAAGGTGATGTGAACACAGGACCAGAGATTTAGAACTGGAAGGGACCTTACAAGTCATCTAGTCCAACCTCATTTTATAGATGAGGAAACAAAGGCCTAGAAAAGCCAAATGACTTATCCAAGGAGTAAGAACCAGAACCTAGAATCCTCGGTTTACAAATCTGGCCTTCTTTCCACTGCACCACTCCCCTGCCATATCTTATTATTAAAATGTAAAAGGCCTGCAGTGAAAACCAGTACCAAAGGAATCTAAATTCTAAAGGAGTTTTACAAAGAAAAGAAATACTTCTAGTTAATTATGTGAGGGATATTAGTGAAGGTTTCATGGAGGAAATGGCATTTGAGATGGGCCTTGAATAAAGTCAGATTTCAATGGGAAGAGATGGAGGAGGGCATGCCAGAAGAAAGAGTAGCAGAAGAAAAGAGAGGTAAGTGAAGAAGAAATAGGTTTGGAGAACAAGGAGCAAAGTTTGACTGGAAGAGATAGCATATGTAAAAATAACAGGAGATAGGCATAAACTGGTGGAATGAAGAAAGGTCACTGAAGAATTGGAATGTTATGCCCAGGAGTTTTAAATTTTACATGATTATCTCTAGGGAGCTATTAAAAGGTTTTTGAGTTGGGGAGTGTCTTAATTAGAGCTATGCTTTGGGAAGATTAAACTGGAAATTTAGAGGTAAGAGATTGGAGGTGACAGAGATACAGGTAGTATTAACAGGGCTGGGTGATGATTTGGGTCATGGAGAGAAAGATGGAAGAAGTCAAAGCCAGCACTAAGATTTTGACTCAGGTTGACAGAAGCTAATGGTGTCCTTAACAGAAAGAGCAAAATTCAGAAAAGGGGCAGGTATGGGTGGGAATATAAGAAGTTGGATCTCAAGCATTGGATCTGAAGGGCATATGAAATATCTAGGGATAAATTTCCAGTAGGCAGTTGGAAATGTAAGTGTTAGGACTTGGGAAAGAAGTAGGAGCTAGACATAACACCTGGAAATTATACACACAGAGGTGATAGTTGAAACCATGGGAATGTTTCAAGGAAGGAGAGAACATTTCAAAAAGAGGACAGAGAATAGAACCTTTGGGAACACTGACATTTAGGGGGCAGAAGGAGACCACAAAGGAGACAGAGAAAGAATGGTCAGAGAGGCAGGAGGAGAACCAGCTTAATACACCGTCATAGAAGCTAGGATAATAAGAAAGAATTTGAAGGATGTCATGGTTTACAGTGATAAATACTACAGAGAGATCAGAAAGAATGAGCACTGAGATGAGGACATTGGATCTTGCCCCATATAATACACTGAGGTCATTGGTGTAATTTGGAAGAGAAACATCTTAGGCAGATGGTAGGACTCTAAACCCTATTCAGGAGAAAGCAGTATAGTGGGAGTGGCTCAGAAATGAATACAGACTTTTCTTTTGAGAAGTTTGACAATGAAAGGAAGCAAAGAAAATAGGGTGGTAGTTCAATGGGATAGCAAGACCCAGTTTTGTGTTTTGTTTTGTTTGTTTGCTTTTAAGATAGTGAAGGCCTGAGGTTGATCAAAGTCAGAGAGAAGGAACATGCAGAGAGGGAAGGATTAAAGCAACAAGTGAGGGGTTAACTCATGGATCAGGATTAAGAGGTAGGGGAGTATGAGGTCAAGAGCATCAGTGGAAATATTAAATGTGGTATAGCCTATATCAGATTGGAAGCTGTCTCGGGGGAGGGAAAGGAGGGGGGAAATTTGGACCTCAAAATCTTACAAAACTGAATGTTGAAAACTAAAAATAAATAAATGAAATTTAAAAAAAAAGAAAAGAAAGTATTAAATGTGCAAAGAAGGAGGGATACTCCCTATAAGAAAAGAAAGAAGAGAAGGGACTAGATAGAGAGAAGTTCTTAAAGTAGAAAGGAGAAAAATTAGAGGAATTTTTTTTTGGAGGTACTGCCCACAGTTGGAGGCAAAGTGATACAAGAATAAGAGTTGTCAGGAGTAGGTAAAAGGTAAAAGATAGAATCCAAACTCTTAGAGGACAGGAACTGTTTCAGGGTTGTCTTTATAACCAAAACATCTTGCACTTGTATGTAGTAGTCACTTACAAGATCATAGGACCATAGACCAAGCCTCTCATTTGTCAGATGAGGAATCTGAGACATAATACAAATCAAATGATTTGGCCAAGGTCAAACTAAGAATGCCTAAGACAGGATTTTTAACTTATGATTCCAAATCCAGAATTCTATCCACTAAAGCACCAAACTTGTCTCACTTAAGGTTTGTTGAATTGAATAGCCAGGGGAATATAGGGTTCCTAGTCAGGATGTTTTCATGAGTTTCTCCAACCCCCAATAGCAGAGGTGGAAAAAGTAAATGAAATATATTTGATTAGAGATTGTTATCAGTGATATTCCAGAAGCAGTTTGAATTGGTTGGGGAGTATTAACTGTTTAATTTTCAGGGTGAACATTTACACTTCAGTGGGCAAATTCAAATCAGACTTGATACAAATGTAATGGAATATAAGAAATGGTGAAAGGAACAGTTTCAGAGAAGCCTGGGAAGATTTATGTGAACTAATGCAGAATAAAATGAGAAAAAACAAAACAACTTATTAACAACAACAGCATTATAAAGACAAACCAGCCACAATTCCAGAGAACAGGAAAGGAAGCAAGCCACCTACTCAATAAAGAGATGATGGAATCAAGAAGCAGAACAAAACATACATTTTTGGACTTGGTCAGTGAGGAAAATTGCTATGCTTAACCATGTATATGTTACAAAGGCATAGTTTTTTCTTTTTCTTTGTTTTTTCAGCTGGGAGTGGGGAGGTGACAGAGGGACAAAATAAAAACTTTTTAATTGAAAAAAATTGTTTAACAAAAAAAAAAGAAACGTCCCTTCAGCCTGGCTTACCTAAAGCTAGCCTCCCCATACAGAGTTCCTGAAGGAAGAATTGTTCTTATTTGTAATCTGATCACTAACCCTAGGGGGTGGGTGCAATTAGAGCAAAGAGATCAAGCTACGTCTGACTGTCATTAATGAAGAAAAACAGAAAAGCAGAATAGTGTAATGGAGGAAGTGCTAGATTTGGAGTCAGAGGTCCTGAGTTCTAATCCTGATTTTGCCTTAGGATACCTAATATCTCTGAGTTTCAGTTTTCTCATCCTTAAAATGACCTCCAGAAGACCTTTTAGCTCTAAACATATGCCCTTAAATGTTTTCTGCTAGTGCTGGATGATGAAAAAATGCCCACAGAAGTGTGGTGGAGAAAGGACAGTTTTTCCTGGGCAACCAGACTATTGGACAAGTCATATCTAGATATACTCTAGCCTTGTCTGAGTTCCCCTGCAGTAGCCACCCACTGTACCCAACTGTTTTCCTGGCAGGCTCCATCACTAGCAGAAGCAGATAACACAATGTTCCTTACTTGCTTAATCCTGAGTCTCTCCACAAAGACTTTGAGGTGGGCCCATTAGTAACATGCTTAAGGATGTGTATTTCATGGAAATGTCCTATAAAACTATAACAAAACCATAAAGCTGTATTAAGTTCGTGGATTTAGAGCTAGAAGGGAGCTCATAGGTCATCTACTTGCAACACTCTATTGAAGACAAACACAGTCAAGGCCCATCCAAGCAGTGGACAAGTGATTTTAGACACTGGATGACTTCACAAACACAGTCAGTTGATTCTGAGCTTCAACACCCAATGACCTTCAGCCACAGGTAGCCACTCTCCGCCTTCTTTTCCCTTGGCACCCCTCCCCCATCCCTCCTCTTTAGGGTGGCCCGAGAAACCCTACCTTTGCTTTGGCCATCTGCTCCACACTAGTCAGCAGGCCATTCACTTCTAGCTTCAACTCACTCTTCTCTTTCTCTAAGCTCTGCTTGACCCACTGTAGGTTGTCCACCTGCCCCTTCAGCTGCTTCAGGCTCTCTTCGTGTTTCTTTCTGATGGTGGTAGCAGCGGTATCAAAGTGAAAGGCAGCCTCACCCAGGTCTCTTCGAAGCCTCACCAAGTCAGCCTCCCTCTTCTTATTGATCTCCATCTGGGCCAGACTGGTGCCCCTGGCCTCTTCCAGCTGCTCATTCATCTCTCCCAACTCACAAGCCAGGTCATTCCTTTGCTTTTCCACCTTAGCTTGTGTTGTTTTTTCACCTTCCAGTTCTTTTTCCAACTCCACCGTTCAAGCCTGGCACAACAGTAATAATTTTTCTTTTAGTGTGAAACCTGTACCATGTTTTATACTCAGGGGACATTATAGTGGCATTATTTATTGGTTCTCATAACTGTGAAAGGTCAGTTGGCTCTTTGGGTCACCATTTTACAGCTAAAGAAAGTGTTGCCAAGAGAGGCTAAGTGACTTACCCTAAATCAATACAGAGCCAGAATTAGAACTCACAGTTCCTGAGCTCTTAACCCTAGGTGACATGTGGTCTCCTTTAATTATATGTAGTTTTTTAAAAAAGGAAACTCTTTTCTTAGTCCTTGAAAATAAACTTGCATATAGATCCATGATGTGTTAGGGTTTAAAAAACCCCCCAAAAGAACAATAGTTGAGATGATTCCCTACACAGTAATATCTCACTAACCTGAAGACCACTTACTTGGCAATGTCAGTTGTTAAGAGCTATGCTAAAAGCTCATCTGTCTGGATGGAGCAGAACAATTTGCCTAAAACTAATTCACCTAAAGTCAGTTCCTCTTTAATAGAGCCAAGAGCTGCAACATAAGCAAAACCACTAGCCAAAATAGATGTCACAAAGGTCATGTACTTTATTCAGAGGGACCTCTTCAGGACCTTGGCCAGAGCCTGTAGATTCATTTTAGATGCAGCTCTTTTAGGTTTGATTACCTGGTATCTAAGCTCACAGCAGATTTGAGGCAACAAATTAGAAAATGAGGGAGGAGAGAGAAATAGGGGATTGGAGACGAACACTGACAGCATTAAGAAGCTACAGCTGACAGTGAGGAAGGAGACAGAACAATTATACAAAGTAGAACTCAAAATGCCTAGAGTCTGGATCCATTTAGGGAAGGGCCCAAATCCCTTGTTAACCCTTGAGATCTTCACTGTATTACAGAAGAATAAAATTACTGAAGTTCACCACGATGACTCTGAATCATGGGAAACAATGAGTGTTAGACAAATTAGTTTTAAGTGAATTGTCCTATCTGATGAATGAGCTTTAACTGTCATTCTATTTGAGGTATGACTAAAATTAATGATTTGGGGGGACATCTAGGTGGCACAATGGACAGGATGCCAGACCTGGAGTCAGGAAGACTCATCTTTGTGAGTTCAAATCCAGCCTCAGATGCTTACGAGCTGTGTGACCCTGGACAAGTCACTTGACCCTGTTTGCCTCCATTTCCTCTTCTATAAAATAATCCGGAGAAGAAAATGGCAAACCACTCCAGGATCTTTGCCAAGAAAATCCCAAATGGGGTCACAAAGAGTCAGATATGACTGAAAATGACTCAGCAACAAAATTAATGATTTAGGTGTGGCTATAAATTAATAGGACTTGCATGGTTAATAGATGTATATGACCAAATCAGTATTTCCCCCTTCAAAATAGATACCCTGAGAATCTATATTCTCATTCTAAGGATGCTGCCATTTCTTATATATATTTTGGAGTTCTTTTGAATATCCTTAGTGGTGGTAAATAGTCATCTTTTTAGGGTGAATTTAATTTCTGAAAGCAGATGAAAGTCATTGAAAGCCAATGACAGTGAATTATTAGATGGATGATCAAGTTGGGTAATGCCATTTTTGGTCCAAAACAAGGGGTTTTAATAAAATGGTCTGATTGTTTTGTTGTTGCTTTTTTAAAGAGTCACTTTATCTTTTAAAGTCAGTCTCATTACTTTATGGCACCACACATACATGAACCAACAGGCATTTATTAGGTACCTATACATAGGTAATTGTCATGCAGAGTCCATACTTGGAGTTGGAGAGCCTGAGTTCAAGACCTGATTATGACCCATGATAACTACCTGACCTTGGCCAAGCATAAATTTTCAGTGCCCAAGGCAACTTTCTAAGACTGTAAGTAGCAGATGAGTTGCTGTTCTGTTTTGGTGAAAGGGTTTTCCACACTGGGACCTCCTTATATTGCTATAATAATAATACTAATAATGTAACAACAACAACTGGCATATATATAGCACCTGAAGATTTGCAAAGCACTTTACTCAAATTATCTCATTAGATCCTCACTAAAGCCCTGTGAGGTAGGTGCTCTTATTATCCCCCACTTTATAGAAGAGGAAACTGAGGCTGAAAGAGGTTAAATGAATTGCCAAGGGTTACATTACTAGGAATTGTCTGAAGCAGGATTTGAGCTCAGGTCTTCCTAATTCCATATCTAACACTCTACCCACTGTGCCAATTAGCTTCAGTTACAGGTCCAAAACAAAAAGAATTCACTGATGAACACAGTATGTTCTAAGGTTCTTAGCAGTTAGAAGAAACTGCTAACCTCCAATGTCAAGGACTTTTGGTTACAGACAACACATCTATGGAAAACAATGCCTTGGTAGATGCTGCAGGACCATCCGTCATTGCTTGGTCCAGATCATGAATACACTATTCAGCTCCTTGAGGTTACCTTAAGCTCCTCTACCATGTTCTGGAACTGGCTGAGGAGGTTTCTTTCATCTGTGGAATCTGGATTCAGCAGGCCTATTTCCAATTCTTTCCTGGGTTTTTTAAGGAGAAAAATCAAGAACAAACAGAAATATGGTTTCTCTACACCTTCAAATTGAACCTCTGGTCAGAGAGGAAAGTTGGTTTTTGTTTTTTGTTTTTTGTGAAAACACAGTGACCTAGAAACAGCAATTTCTAAAGCAAGTATTAGAATTCTGAGTAAGGGTGCCCAAGGACTTCTGATTCTTTCATCACTGTGCTGAGGAAGGATACAGGTCTTCAAAAGCAATAGACAGAAGGCAGGTAAGTTTATTTAAATCAGTGGCCTTCCTTACCCCTACCAAATTCTCAACTGATACTACAATTATATTACAAAATTACAATATTTTTTTTAAATTAGTAAAGACTTTATGTTAGGTTTTAAGATTGGTGTCTATTATATTTTCCACAAATACTCAGTTACCTGGAATTCCCAGCTGGACTAGGTAGTATAGAGCATAATACTGTCCACCCCCACATAACAATAACTGAGGTCCAGTCTGCTCAACTCTGATTCTGGCTTTTAATGGTTTTAAGCCAGTTTCATCCTAACCACAGCCCTACCTTTATGTCCATGTTATCATCTCCATGGGTCAAACCACATACCTGCTCTTAACCTAGTCTTACTCCAGTTCAGGAATTCTTAACCATCTTTTTGCATGAGTGTCATGGACTCCTTTGGCAGAGTGGTGAAGCCTGTGGACCCCTCTTCAGAAGTGTATTTTTAAATGCAAATGCATAGGATTGCAAAAAAAAATCAACTATATTAAAATACAATTATTAAAGTATCTTTTAAAACAAGTTCATAGACCTTAGATAAATAACTTCTGCTCCAAACCCTTGTCCTACCTTCATTTTGTACCTCACTAACTATTCCCCCTTTTATTCTGTTGCAGACTAAGGATAGCGACTGATCTGTGATTTCATTGGTATAGGTAACTCCCAGGTAAGAAAATTCCCTTTGCCAATGTAGGTCGGTACCTTCTCTGCAACTTATAGTCTTAGGGAGTTGCCTAGAGCCCTGAAAAGTTTTGACTTGTCTGGAGTCACACAGCCAGTATGTGTCAAAGATGGGACTTGAAGCCAGGTCTTCCTAAATCTAAGATCACCTTTCTCTCCTCTGTTTTGTTACCTCTAAATCCATTCTAAGTAGCTTTAAAACTTAGAGAAGTTCCATTGAAGTTCCATTGAATTCACCAAATACATATTATTGAGACAAATTTTTATATATATTATTTAAAATATATTATTGAGAAAAATTAGAAAAAAGCAGGTAAAAGGCAGGAAAACAAGAGAAAAGACATGAGATGTTTTGTAAGGTAATGAGACTGATTTTTCTTCTACTGTTTATGGGATTAGTCACTTTATAGGCACAGCTTATGTATTCCTTCCCCAATAATGTCAATGCTGCATTGCCTTAATGAACAAACTTCCAAAAAACATCAACAGAGAGGAAAAGCTGTTCAAAACCGAAGCCCATGTAAACAATCAGGGTGAAGGGTAATGGGGAGAATAAGGCTTGCCCAACATTCTAGGACTCAAAAAAACAATCCTAGAAAATTGAAATTCAAAAAGTCAAAAAATTGAAATAATCTTTATATTAAGTAAGTCAGGATGGAAAATATACAATTCCTATGAATTCAAATCAATTTGGTTGGATATTTGATTCCTGACACCACTTTATAGACATCTACTCTTCTATCTCAACCCCACTAAAAACTTGAACTTCATCCCAGCTCCCCCAGCCTGGAACATTGGGTCTTTGATTTATTTTGTTCTTCCGTGCCCTTTCCAAGAGGCTTTCTGCACCACACTTCCCTGACCCCTTCCAACACCCTTTTAATCATTTTCCTTCAGTAGAATGTAATTTCCTTGAGGGGCAGGATCTTGCTAACTTGCTTTTATTTGTACCCCTCAGTGCTTAGCACTAGCATTAGACTATACCAAGGGCTTAATAAATGCTCTACCTATCTAGATTCTAAAACATGCTTGCCTGTTTTATCTCAGTGATTATATCTATTACCTCATTTAAATTTTTTCTTCCTCTTAGCCCTGACCACTGGGATTCTTACTGCTGCACGAAATGAGCAGTCCATTGGCCACAGCCTTTTGCCAATTCTTTCTTTAGCCTATCCCCCAAATATTTCCAGGGGAATAGGACAGTTGTCTTAATCCAACCACAGACTGTTCTTTAATGCATTTGTTCTTCCTTTTAGCTCTTTTGCCAAGACACTACATAAGTTTGATTTTTTTTACTTCTGTTATCTTTCCCTAGAGTCATTAAAAAATGAGGCATTGGAAGCACAAGAGTGAACAAAACAGATTACTTGCTCCTCCCAGTATGTACTGTGGTTCCTGGCCAATAGAAAGGCACCTTACTTTTCTAATTTTTCATCTAGTTGCTGCCGGTCATTCTCCAGATCCGTGACACTTTCCCGGCTTAGATCTAAATCACCCCCCAGTTTCTTTTGCCATTCCAGGTCCATCTTTATTTTCTTCTCCTGCTCATAGACACCCTCAAGCTGACAAAAGAAAAATTTGTTATTTTTAACTAAATGATTAATGACATTGAGATGCTTAAAACTCTCTTGCAGAAGGTTGGTGTGTGTAATGTACTTAAAACCCAGAGAAGAAGAAAGAACAAGAACCATACTCTGTAAATAATACCAATGTATACATTCTACTCTCTATAATATGTACACATATATGTTTCATGTATACATTATAATAATTATATTAAAATATCAATATTATCTGGCAATACATGTTGTAAATATGGCAAATAAATGTACTAACACAAAGGAAAGTCTTGGTAGTATTAATAGAGAGCTTTTTCATTATCACATTTAAAAACAACAAGCATTTATCTATCTATTATTATTTAACCTACCATGTGCCAGGTACTATGTGAGCTCTTTTGAGAGCAGGGAATATTTTTTGCCTTTCTTTGTATCACCAGCCCTTAGCACAGTGCCTGGTATATAACAGGTTGCTAATAAATGCTAGTTAACTAATTGACTGCAAATACAAAGAAAAGCCAGACCTTGATTCTTTCATCTTGAGAACCTCACATTCTGATGGAGGAGACAATATGCAAACTACTACATATACTATGTATGTATCTATGTATCTATGTATTTGTGTATGTATGTAGATATATACATATACATATATACACACATACACATGTATTTACTACACACACATACACAGAGTATAAACAGGAGGTAATCTGAAAGGGCAGACATTAATAGTTTTGCATGGTAGTGGGACATATAGGTGGAAATGTACTGTAGATAAAGTCATTGAATTGCAATGAGAGAAAACTCTCTGGAAACTTTATATAAAGTCATGGCAGTTAAAATGAAAGCATATAAACTTCCTGAGGAAGTATATACACAAAAGTTGAAAGCCCCTAGGAATCCTGGTACTGAGACCCATGGGTTAACCTCATTTAGGAGGAAAGGGGTTGGGGAAGAAGATCAGAGAGGAGAAAGAAAAGCCAGAGAGATATAGGAAAAAGAGAAAACGAAGAGAACACATGACTGACTGTCCACATCTTCAAATGCAGAACAGTTTCTAGGAAAAAATGAGAGTGAACACACACTGAGCTTAAACCAAAGCAAACCAAAACATTCCCACTGCCTTTAGAACTCTTAAGTTATTATCTGCCATGAGTTGTAAAACATTTACAAATCAAACACACCCATATTCCTTAAACTTCACAGTCACGTTAAGTATAAAAATGTGGTTGGTTATAGATAATCACCTGAAAATTCCTTCTGGTTCCTTTCTATGTTTTCATTAAGGATGCCTTCAAAGTGTTTATAGACCATTCCAAGAGAGTTTGTATAGATATGAAAGCCAATATCCCAATTGGTAATTATTTGTGCCTTCTCATTCACCTTTATTGGGAGTGATGAAGGAGGAAAGATCTCTTGTATTCTTAGGAGTATAGTATTGAGATATATATAAGGTCAGAATCACAAAATCATGGAGTTGGAAAGGACTTCAGAAGCCATCTAAACTAACCCCAAACTAAACAAAAATCCCCTTGATTAAAGACCTCCTGTGAAAAGAAACACATCATTTCATCCGTAAAATTAGACAACTGAACTAAATGGTCTATGGAATCACTTCCAATTTTAGATCTATGAAACTATGATTCTATGACCTATTAAGACAGCTCACTTCAATTTTGTATAGTTCTAAGTTGTTAGGAAATGTACCTTTAAATTAAGCCAAAATCTGACTTCATAACTTCTATACATTTTTCCTAGTTCCATCTTCTTGATCTAAGTAAAACAAATCGAATCACCCTTCCAATAGTTGTACATAAAGGTCATGTACTCCTTAGGTTTTGTCTGCCTCAGGTGAAAAACCCCAGTTCATTTAATCAGTCTTCATATGTCATCATCTCAAGGTACTTCCCCACCCTGGATGCTCCCATGTTGACATTTTCCAACTTATCAATGCCCTTCCTAGAATCTAAAACTGAGAACTGGATGCAGCTTTACATATGTGGTTGGACCAAGACAGAGTGCAGTGGAATTATCACCTCTCCAATCCTGAATGCTATCTCTCTTAAAACAACTAAGACTGCATTAATTTTGTAGGACTATTGTATCATATTGTTCACTCATTTGGTACTTGTAGTCCACTAAAACCCTAAGATTTTCTTTGGATCAACTGCTATCTAGCCATACCTCTCCATTTTGCATTTATAGATTTAATTTTTTCAACTCAACTACAGGCCTTTACATTTATTTCTATTAAATTTTCTTTTATTAAATTTGGCCCCATATTCTAAGATCTTTTTTGGATCCTAATGGTAGCCTAATGTGTTAACCACTTTTCCTAGCTTTGTGCCACAGGAAGATTTTATGAACACATCAAAAATGTCTTTTTAAGGGTCTTTGATAAAAATTTTAGGTGACACAGAATCATATGGGCCTTCCACTGGAGACTCCTTTACACATTGACATTGACCTATTATTAATGACTTACTTTGGGGGTCCAGTTGTTCAACTAGTTCTGGTCAACTTCATCTTCATAAATTCTTTACATAAGAAAATACTTAACTCTTTAGAGGAAAACACAGTTTAAAAGTTCTCTTCAAACTGTGTCTCCTACATATACATTAAAATTATATATGCCAATGAAAGTTATGACTATGACTATATCTTCGCTTATTGACACAGTTATGAAAGATGTAGTAGGTGAAGTCGAAAGCCCCCAAAAGGATTGCTTATTGATACCAAAGTCCTACAAAAGCCTCAACTCACAGATGACATTGTATCAGTTGCATTTATCCCTGGAACACTGCAAAGTGTCCTCCATGGAGTCTACAGCAATGCAAAACAATTTTAGAACCATCCACCAAAAACAAAAACAAAAAAACCAAAGTGGATAAAAAAACACACATTGTCCAGCTGTTACCTAGTAGGTTGGGCAGCCAATCAAATTAGCCTATTATTATGTATATCCCTGACAGGCTAGATAATGGGCTAGCCCAGAATGGAAGAAGATTATATTTAGAAAAATGAGCAATGCTGTAGATGATCCCAAACTGCTCACTACTTTAAGACTCGTGTCATTAACATCAGTGTTCTTCTGGTGATGCATATGGCTTTGACTCATGGAACACTATGACATCAAAGGAAAAGAAGTACAAATAATCTAAAGGGCAATGAAAAAAATGAGTGGTTGATCTAAGCAGGCCTTATTTGGCACATTGCTAACAATAACTCACAAGAAAAATTGGTATGAAATGTTATCAAAAACATATATGACTACAAAAGTAAGAATGAGAGGTAACAAATGGAAAGCCCACTTTTTTAAAAGTTACTTTAAAAAGATACTCTAAAAAAAACAAGAGAGATATCCCTAGAATATTCAGTAGTTTCTCTATGGAGCATTTATGAAAAAATATTGATAATCATACTGGATGAGAAGGTATGGAGAAATTGTAATTCGCATTAATGAAAACAGTACTCACACCAGTAAAATGACATATCCATTAAAGTCCCAATGTCGTGGAGAACAAAGCCTGTATTTGCATGTAATTCATGCCATATATCTAAATAATATATAATTGCATATAGCCGTTTAGTTTATAACACCTGTCTTCTAATACCAATTAGCGAAGTAAAGACTGAAGATAGGACAAAGGCCTGGAATGAGGCCAGATTAAAACTGAGAGGGTCAGGGGTAGGTACTGACCAGTTTTCATAGAACTAGCATTAGAATGGCATATGTGAAGGTGGAACCCAATTGTGATACTGAAAATAGGAGTAAGAACAAAGTTCCATTATTGCAGTGCAAAGTTCTCCAATATGCAAGGAAAAGAGAACATTTTATGAAGAAAAATCCATGAAGTCAATCTTAGTACTCTTCTATGAAGTCCTGAAAAACAGCCATAATTCAACTCTAAGATGATCAACTGAAATATTGTATATGGTCTTCTATTTAGTATCGAAGTTGTCTGTATTATCTTTCCATCTGTGTTTAAGTTCCTTTGGACAGAGAACATGTCTTTATTCTATTCCCTACTATGGAGACCCAGCCTTACCCTAGTCATGTTTATTATAGAATTCTGTTGATTGAAAAACATTGAAAGAATTGCCAACTATGAAGATAATAATTTTGAGACAAAATATGCCTCTAAGTTTTCTTGATTCTTTAAAATCAAAATATATAAAAAATAGAAACATATCCAAAAAGGGTGGGGGGAAATCACTTGCCTCATTGACTTGATATTCTATTTTGAACTTTGCTTTACTTGGGGTGCTGGGTATGTCTCTTTTGGTTTGCACTTCATCTATGGCTGCTGGTGGGCCTTCTTGGTAGCCTTTACATCTCTGTTAAGTTTCTCAATATCGTCATTCAGGAATTCTATTTCTGTCAGGTTCTTGACCTGTGGGTAAGGAGAAATAATTGTTCAAGTTGTCCTTCATCAGAGTCAACAGGATGTTTAAGGAGGTCATCTTTTTTTCATCCTTTTTTTTCATACTGGACATTTATACGGTGGCCAGTGTTATAGACAGAATCATAATAAACAGAGAAACTTAACACCTGATGGACCTATAGAAATTCTGAGGCAAAATGACCCCTTCAATTATTTTGGATGGACATTATCTGTGTTATCAACCTATATTCAAAGGATCAAAAGTTAAAAATCTAGAGTGAAAAGGGATCTTAAAGGCCATCTAGGCCAATCCCCTCAAATTGCAGGTCAGAAAACGGAGGCTCAGAGAGGTTTAGTGATTTGTCCAACATCACACAGGTGGTATAAGCTGGGATTTGAACCAAGGTTCTCTGAGTCCAAAATCAGTGTTCTTTCCCCAATATCACACTGCCAACTGTAAAGACAGATCTTTGGAAGATACACCTTTCCTGCAGGGTGAGACCAACTGAAAACCATCTACCTGAGAAAATGGGGATGTAGGTAGAGTTGGTCAACCTAGATCTGGATCTGGCCTCAGGTGTTGTCATCGTGTGTGCGTGAGAACAGTGTCTTCACAAATTCCAGATCATTCCGCTTTCTATAGTAAACTTTCTCAGTGTTTTTCACATAGTAGGTACTTAATATCTACTGAATTGAATTATCTGTCATGATCATGGACATGACGATCTGGTTAATCAAATTTTCTGGTAATCAAAGAGTTACTCCATATGCTATATAGAAATGACCGATTTTCATGAAGTGAGAATACAGAAAATCATAGGTAACACTAAAAAGCCTATTAATTTTACTTTGAAGTCTTTCTCTGATGATTCAGAAGGATCTTGCTAGTCTCAGGGACCTGGGCTCCCAGCTTTAGAAGTTAGAAGATGATCATCTAGTCCAACTCCCTCATTTTATAGATGAGGAAACTGAGGCCCATAGAGATGGAATGATTGCTCGAGATCATCCAAACTGAAAATGTCATTACAAAACACAAAATACCATTCTTATACTGGTGATATGGGGTAATGCCAATGAATGGTGAGTTCTAGGGATAGAATGTCTAAAAACAGAACATGTGAGCCTAAAACTGGGATCTATTCGTCTGAAAGAGAGCCAGAAAAGGGAATAGGTGCTATTCTTCAAAGTCATCATTAAAGCTTTATATATTGAAAAAATTCGAGAGAGTTAGGTATACTGATAAATACCATGACCAAACATAATTCCAGAGGACTCATAATGAAACATGCTTCCCACCTCCGGATAGAAAGAGCCAATGCTTAACACAGTGCCTGGCACATAGTAAGCACTTAATAAATGCCTGGTTGATTGACTGATTGATGGACAGATTCAAAGAATACTTTAAGACTGTTTTTTGACACGGCAAATGAAGAAATTTGTTTTGATGACTATACATACTTGTAATAAGCTTTGTTTTTCTTGCTTTCTCAATGGGTCAACAGGAGAAGAGAGAGGTGAGAGAAAGAGAATGAAAATAAAATAGATTTGAATTTTTAAAAGTTTACCAATTCCAAATGTTTGACACACATCATGCTTGGCTACTCTCAACTCCTACAAAGACAAGAGAATCAGTTCTCTACCTAAAAATAAAGCAATTCATTCAAATTCCAACAGCAAATTCAGGGCAGAATTAAAATTGCTACCTATTCCAAATCAGCCATTTAGGTGACTGTGACCCTCTATAACAAAAAACACTTTGAGTCCAAAGAACTCTATTTTAACCTTTCTATCTTATTTTGTACACAAGGATACTGAAGCAAATGGGGGAAAATTACTTAGAAGATTAGCTGTGATTTCAACATAAGCTTGTGTTTGAAATCTAAATTTGATGGCTCAGCACACTGTGGTCTGTATCTTATACCAGTTTTAACCTTCCTGTAACCTAAGGGAACCGGTTCTTGTGCTAATTAAAAAGAAGCTGGTGACAGAAACCAGGTTTGAGAGAGTTGTAGTACAGGCATGTGGGCCACCAGGCCTCCCTCTTCAGAGGGGAAAAAAAAAAAAAAGAAAAGTACCTTCTGTTCTGTAGAGTGCTTTTCTTTCTCTGATTTCACCAGTGTTGTTTCCAGGTCACCGATTTCTTTCTTCAGCCTAGGGCATTCATCTTCCAGTTCCCTCTTCCTGGCATTCAGCTCAGAATTTTTCTCCTCTTCTTCCTTCAGCGGCTCGGAGAGCACTTTGACTTTGGCCTCCAGCTGGATCTTGGATATTATCAGAGTTGCTCTGTTCCTCAACATCTGCCAGGGTCTCTTGCTCCTACCATGATGCAGAGAAAATAGTGGCCAACAGCTGGAAATAATTCATCAGCAAAGAAAGAATTCTGTTTAACATTTAGCAGAGAGATAATTGCCTGCCTTCTGTATAACATTTTGTCCACCTACCTTTTCTTAAACCTCTAAAATAATATAACAATCGCTCTGATGGGAGTGCCTTATTTATGTTTAGAGGCAAATTCAAACTTTCAGCCTCAATTAATAAATTAAATTACCTTTTCCAGGGCACTGAATGGAATCCTAGTGATCAAAAAGCAAATATATTAAAAAATAAGCCATGTGCCTCTAAATTCACAATTTCTAGAAGTGCTCCTGTTGGTCCATAGTCTGAGTGAATGTGATTGTTTCCAAAAGGGGGAAAAATCGCATTCCAGAACAGGATTACACTACAGAATGTAGGCTATTTATGATGGAATCCATTCCATAATATCATCAATCAGAGCTGTCACTAGCAGAGAGTAAATGGGGCTTTATCCTAGGATCCTAGTATCTAGGGGGCAAGTTTCTTCCCCAAGGAGGGGCACCTTCTCCCTGGTGTGAATGTCATACCCACACTTTGCCTCAAGGAACCCCAAACACCTAATAGACATGGCCCAACTGCCTGCAGGCCACTACCCTCACCATCCTGTCCCCTTAACACCCCTTTCCCAGGAGCCTACCTTATGCCTTTCAATGTCCCTGCTGGACTTCCCGGAGGATGAGCTATTCTCCTCTCCTGGATTACATCCACAGTTGGACTGTTCTCTGTTCTGCCACCACCATACACTGTCATTATGTTTGTACCCATGTGAAAAAAAAAAAACCTAGTTATACCTCTGTCTTCAACAGTTTCATTTGTAACCTAAATAAATATTTAGTAAATGTAACCATTTTTTAGAGAGTGCATTGTAGTGGACAGAGGAGCTGACCTTGAAACCAGGAAGCCCTGGTTTCTGAGCTTGGGACACATTAAGCTGTGTAACCCTGAGTAACCCTCCATGCTTTCCACAACTCTTAAGACTATATAAGTTAGACTAGAAGGTACTTTAAGCTGTGTAACCCTGAGTAACCCCACAAGCTTTCCACAACTCTTAAGACTATATAAGCTAGACTAGAAGGTACTTTAAGCTGTGTAACCCTGAGTAACCCTCTGTGCTTTCCCCAACAAGCTAGACTGGAAGGTGCTGACCTACATTGGTAGAGGGTCTTTCTTTATCTGTAATTGCCTATAACAAAGAAACACAGATCCATTACCGGTCCCTATTCTTAAATGGAATCATATCATGTACTACTTTCTCAAAGCCCAGATTCAAGATTACCAGAGGTACTTGAAGTCAATAGCTACATTTCATTTGATTTCTAATAAACTTTTTGTTTCAAGGATTCCAACAACAGCAAACTCCACAAGTTGTAGCCAGGCTGCATAAAGAAGCATTTCCTTTTATCCATTTCCAAGTGTACCGCCTCAAACTCTCCCTGAGTGGCCCATTGTTCTTCATGTTATGGGTCAGGATCAAAATGAAGGAACTGATTGCCTTTCAGTATAAAGCACCTTTCATAAGTCTGAATCCCTCAATCAAGTTCCCTCTAATTTGTCTCTATTAGAAGCTAAATGAGACCTCTTCTTTGTGAGCAAGCTCTTGATTGCAGGAGGTCTTAACGCACCACAACTCCAAACATATCTCCATTTCCCTTTTCAAGACCTCACTCATCCTCTGCAACATATTGGCTCAGGAAGTGTATTATCTTCTCATTTGCTATGCTTAAGTTGTCTCTGCTGTTAGATCAGAAGCAGATAAAGGCAAAATCCTGTTTACTGGCCTCTGGGTCAGCTCTTGGCAGGAGAAGCTACTGGCTGCTCAGCAACTGGTTACAGAGGAGGGGTGGGGAAAGTTAAGGACAAAGAGGAGAAAGGAAAAGGGGAGAAAAATAAATCTCCACCCTCAATCAGGACCTCAAAGGGGAAGCTAAATGAAAAATGTAAAGGTGGCTTTAGCAGGAAGGGTCAGCAGCAAGATGGAAGAGCCTCCAAAATTTGGGGAATAGTAGATGTATTTCATCTTCTTGCAGCCCCAGTTGACAGGCAGAACAGACATTTTGTTCCATTCCATTCAGTGTGCATCTAGGGCCTGCCACCAGCTCTGAATGAAGAGGAGGATCCAATTGACTGTCGTTGACCCATTCATTACCCATGACAGCAGGGTTTGTGGACTGAGCCTCGGTAGGTGACAGTTTAACAGCCTGAAGATTCTTTCCCCAATGACTGTTATTCCCACATGGACTCGCTGTGTTAATTAGAAGGGGATAGCTCAGGATTTCCAAGGCTGAGTCAGAAGAAAGCTTATTGGTTTGAGCCCCATTGAGCTGAGCTCTATCCATTTTTGTCACAGTGACTGACAAGCGTAAACACCACTCATCCTCCAGGTAACCAGACTGACTTGGATTTTTCTTTGGCTTCATCACAATCCCATCCTCCTTCATTAGGTCTCCCATTCCATAGTCCTAGCCTTCATTCCCACTCCCCTTGGAGCTCCAGCTTCCCAAACTATCTCCATGGAACTTCTCCGATGGTCCAGGCAACACTTGATATGTTCCATTCCTGTGCAGGGTAGAGGGGCAGAAAAGGATAGTTCAGTCTCATCTGTAGTTATTCCAAACCTATCACACACTGCCACTCATTCCAAACAAGAATGATAGTAGGGCAAGGAGGTTTTAAAAAAGTGTAAAAAAAAAAAGTGTGTGCATGTGGTAAAACTTGGATAAAGAAACTATACTTTGTAAATTGGGAACATGGAATTGACCCAAGGGAAAAACAGAGTTAAATTCAGCTCTTTAATAAGTTATTTTTTTCCCTAAAATTCTTTCAATGAGTTCAAAATCACCTAAACAGTTAAGCTGTTTTTGTTGATGTTACTGAATTCGAACTTCCAAAAAATTAATACAATGCTTTTAAAATTAATTTCTTTGATTATTAATTCAGTACTTACTATTTGACGGTATGCAATTCATTCAATACTTACTACATACACATTGAATGCTTTCTATGTGTAAGCCACTATGCCAGGTACTACTAGGAAGGAGATACAAAAATTTGAAAGACAGTTATTGCTCTTCAGCAGGTATTAGGGCAGACAAGATATGCACACAAGTAATTATAGTACTAGATGGTATATCAGAACTGTCATGTGACAGATTCAGACCATAAAATGCTATAAAGTTCAGAGGAAGAAGAGATTACTTCCTACTAGGATGACCAGATGGTCTTCTTGGAAGACATGGAATTGGAACTAGAATTTGAAAAGAGAGGTAATGATGCATCTAGTCAGAGGCAGGAAGGGAGAGAAGCCCAGGTAAATTGTTCAGGGGCAAAAAAAAAAAGTGTATGTTTAGGGTAGGTAAGCAGACCAATCTGGCTGATGCGGAGGATTTGTTAAAGGAACAGCAGGAGATGTCTGAAAAGTTACATAGTGGTGAATTGTTCCTTATCCTTCCTCATCACTCTCCATTCAAATCCTGTGTCTTGGGTTCCTGGTGAAAATAGCTACCAGCTCTCTTCAATCTTCTTCTTTGTTTTTTAGTGCTTTCTCTAAAAATGCCCTGAATTGATTTTCATTACCTAACCCAGTTGCCCCAGAGAAAAAAAAGGACCAGAAAGACAATAGAAAGGAGGAAACAGAAGAATCCTAAGACTCATTGACAAATTGCAAAAGAACTAGAAGCACTAGTCTCTCGAGCTGGGGAGAGAGTGAACCCATACGAGAGATTAACTCTAACTTAGTCCAGAATAAGAAAATAAAGACTCAGTCCAGTAGGGCAAATAGAAGACAGTTTTCCCAGCACCTGGATGCAAAGGGCATGGCACATAGGAAACCCTTACTAAATGCTTGTTACTGTCTGGCTAAGTAAATGGCCTAGAGTTATTCTGGTTCTGAGCATGAAAAAGTTACACTAATGCCAGCCCTTCTCTCCAGTGATGCTCAACACCTGGCACCATCTCCTGGAGACAAGGAGCAATAGATCGTTCTTGAAAGGAAGGAAACAGCTGCTTTGGTTCCTCCTCCTATCAGGCATGGTGGGTTCTCCTCTCCATTGTTCTTCCAAGACAGCTGTTCCATCTCCCCAGGAAATTGTGCCAGTTGGATGAGAGAAGAGGCTGACAGTATTATAGCTTGCTCCCACCCAACTCCAGGACATTCCTGGGAGTATTTACTCATTCTATTTGCCTGTTTGAGCATGTGTGTTTAAATGGGTCCCACAGGCTGACCCTACCAAGAGCCTACTGGCGATATTTGAGCAAGTCTCCATTTCCTATTCTTCACTCTCTACCCAAGGGGTAGCCTTCCACTCATTCGACATTTTCCATGGAAGGGCTCCTTCATTCCATTTCTTTCCTTATCTTTCTAGTCCCAATCTGTGTTTGGGCCAACTGAGCCATGCCATACAAATTAACGTATGGTTGCTTAGAGAAAAAGGGAGAGAGGGAAAGAGTAATTCCTCTCAACAAAAGTACCTGTTGCATACAGGTGGGAGGGTTCTTCACTCTTTGTAAGTAGGATCCAGATAGGGTCTTTGATAAAAGGCTAAAGAGTTTAGGTTTCATCTTGTAGGCCCTGTGGAGCCACTGAATGTTTTTGAGCAAAAGAGTGATAAGATGAAAGCAATGTTTTGGGGTTAACTGGCAAGTGTTGTGTATGCAGGGAAAGTCTGAGAGCAGGGGAATGCTTTGAAGCCTATTCTGACAACTTGGCCACAATCAAGCTTCTTTCTGAACTTTAGACCAGAGGTGTCAAATACACAGCACCATCCCTTCGTCCCCCAACACTCCTGAATGCAGCAGAACCAGATTAAAATGTAATTGGCATGTAACAAAATAAATAAAAACACAATAAAACAAAGATCTTGTTAATGTGCAGTTTTTTATAAGTCACTATGCATCCACAGGGATCCTTATGTCTGGTTCAGTGGTGCAAGTGGGTCAGGGTCTACCTAAAGACTTTAAAATGTGCATGTGTGCATGCACATGCACATCCACACACGCACACACACATGTACATATAATGGGGGGAGGGTAGCCAATGAAGTCCCAATCCTTAGAACATGCTCTACATATCTTTTCAGGAAAGGAAAATCTGAGCGTACTCTAAGGACTGGACCATCATTGACCAGCCTTCCCCTCTCCTCCACCATTATATACACATTCAGTATCTAGAAGTTAACTGATACTTGTAACACATAATGGTACCTCTATAAGGTAAAACCTAATTATACTCAAAGACCAGCTGTCAAAGAATCTCCTCACTTCATTATGAAACAGAGAGGGCATTTTAAAATGTTTTAATTACCTATATTCAGCAGAATTTGATAGAGTTTGAAAAACTCACGTTCTTCTATGCTGGTTGCTATTTTTTTTAACCTTTCCAAGCAATCATTACCCAAAAAAAACCACAAGCAATTCCAAAGAGAGAATGAGTGAATGAATAGCAGACCAGGTGGAACCCTCACAGCCTGCAGCTGGAGCACTAAGTCATTCTTTTCACGATTAAGGAAGGCTTGCTTTGCTTCGCATTTCTCCCCCTGACATGCTGCTTTCTCCAAGGCTTTGCTCAGCTTTGCCAGCTCTTCCTTAAGCCCAGACACCTCTTTTTCCACTTTCCCTAGACTTCACAAGAGGCTTGATTTTAAGAAAAAGCTGCATTCAGGGCCAGCTCTTCCCAACCAGTAAGACTCTGATATTCCACTGGATCACAAGAAGTACAGCTCTGATTCCAGAGAAAAGATAAACAGACAATTTGTTAAGAACCTGTTATGTGTGCCAAATACTGTTATGCTCGGAGGATACAAATACAAGCAAGGCAGTCCTGCCCTCAAAGAGCTTGCATTCTAATGGGAGAAGACAACATATGAAGAGGAACTGAAAAGGGGAAGAGAGGTAGATGAAAACTCAGGTGGGAGTTTAGGCAGCATGGTAAGGAAATGGCCTGGAAGTGGTAAGGAGGACTGGTTCCTGGCAAGATAAAGCTAAAACTCACCTATCAGCAATTGAGTCCAAGGCTGAGGAGGAATGGAAAGCAAGTTAAGCCAGGCTCCCAGAGAAAGAATGTATCTTCCAAGTTATCCAGGGTACTTGACAAATACACTTCTTTTTTTTTTTTTGGCTAGGCAATGGGGTTAAGTGACTTGCCCAGAGTCACACAGCTAGTAAGTGTGATGTATCTGAGACTGGATTTGAACTCAGGTTCTTCTGAATCCAGGGCCAGTGCTCTATCCACTGCGCCACCTAGCTGCCCCACGACAAATACACTTCTTTAGTAATAATAGCATCTTACCACCTCATACCCATCAGATTGGCTAAGATGATAGAAAAGGAAAATGACAAATGCTGGAGGGGATGTGGGAAAATAGGTATATTAATGCATTGTGGGTAGAGTTGTGAACTGGTCCAACCATTCTGGAGAACAATTTGGAACTGGGCCCAAAGGGCTATAAAATTGTGTATACCCTTTGAGGGCAGCTAGGTAGCCCTGTGGATAGAATTATAGGCCTAGAGCCAGGAAGATTTATCCTCCTGAGTTCAAATCTGGCCTCAGATACTTACTAGCTGTGTGACCTTCAAGTCACTTAACCTTGTTTGCCTCAGGTTCCTCATCTGTAAAATGAGCTGGAGAAGAAAATGGCAAATCACTTCAGTATCTTTGCTATGAAAATCCTAAATGGGTTCACAAAGAGTTGGACACAACTGAAAAGCATCTCAACAACATATTCTTTGACCCAGCAATGCTGTTATAAGGTCTATACCTCAAAGAGATCAAAGAAAAAGGAAAGGACTCATATGTAAAAAAGTATTTATAGCAGCCCTTTTTGTGGTAGCAAAGAATTTGAAACTGAGAGGATGACTATCAGTTGGAGAATGGCTGAACAAGTTGTGGTTTATGATTGTGATGGAATACTATTTGCTATAAGAAATGATGAGCTGGGTAGTTTCGGAAAATCCTAGAAAGACTTATGTGAAATGATGCAAAGTGAAGTGAGCAGAACCAGGAGAATAATGTACAATAACGGTAATTTTGTAACAATAATCAGCTGTGAAAGACTTAGCTACACTGATCAATAAAATGATCCAACTCAACTCCAAATACCTCATAATTTAAAATGCTATCCACCTCCAGAGAGAGAACAAAGGACTCCAAGCTCAGATTTAAGCATATTTTTTCACCTGTATTATTTTAGCTTTTTTTTTCTTTGGGACATGGCTAATGTGTAAATATATTTTGCATGACTTCACATGAATGAATAAGTTATTGTATTTCTTACCATCTCAAAGGGTGGGAGAGGGGTAGGGAGAGGGAGAGAATTTGGAACTGAAAATATTTTTTAAAAGTAATAATACCTCTTTGTATTTGCATAATGTTAAATAATTTTCTAAGTACTTGCACACTATCTCAATTGGTCTTTATAATAATCCAATGAGGTATACAGGGTAGGTAGTGCTATCCCCATTTTACAGATGAAGAAATTAAGATAATGAGACATGTAACTAACCCACAGTCACGTAGAAAGTTAATAAAAGATCTAAAACTCGAATCTTCTGACTATGAGACTAGTGTCATTTATTCTTCATTTCACTGGACAAGGAATGAAACAAGATTGTATTAATTCTGGTATACATCATCTGTCTATAAAGTGTGGTACCTCTGTTTCAGAATCTTCTGGAATTTGGCCCACATCACTTTGCCTCATATTGAGGCTCGGATTAGTATAAAGATTTTAGCTAGTCTCTCAGCCTTCATTTTTTCCAGGTGATCCAAGAGGCCAGCTGTAAAACACCTTAGAGAAAAAGCAGATGGGTGTTATGATTACTCAGAGAGTAGTTGGTCTGTCCCTTCCTATCATAACCTGTCTGTGGTGACAGAACTTTGTATTTCTGTTGTAAAATTGCTTCAAGTTGTTTTTAAACATTTTTAGATAGAAGTGATGTATTTTTTGTAAATTTGAGTTCATAACCCCAAGAAAGCAGGGTTGTATGTGTGTGTGTGTTTTTTAAGAAAGTTAAATCCTATATTGTGGTTATTGCTAAGTAATCATTTAGTGCAAATTGGGAATAATGCAAGCTCTACCTCCAAAGAGTAATGGTTAGCAGGTACAACTCACTCCCTTCTTTCAGGGGGAAAAAAAAGATAACCTCAGGAATTCAGTGAGGAAATGCAGCAATGTACCATATCCTTATTTCTTTATTCCTATAAACTGTGGCAAGAAAAATGTGCAGAAGGAGCAGAAGCGTATCCAAAATAACTGCTGGCAAGAACTTCTAGAACAAAATATAGGTTAATCAAAAGGCAGGTATTAGTTTGCCTTTATTAAATACAGTTAGTTGTCTCTTTTCCTAGATTGATGAACAAAAGCAAACACTTTGTTATTCAGCACTGATGAGTATCAATAAATCATTGTAGTGCTGAAGTTATAAATCTATCTCCCTTCCCAAATCCCCTCCCCACAAAAAGGAGACTTTCGATGTGAAGCAGAGAAATTTATAATGCTTTGGAGAAAATGCTGTTCCCAAGCTAGGGGAAAATTAGGGTTAATTAAAGTAATAATTGATAACAATTAAGGCTTAGGGAGATAGATGCCTAATTGTACTTAGAAGATTGTCTTACTCCAACAGTGATTAACAATGATGGTTCTCCTTAGTTGTCTCAATAAAGCTGTCTTGACCACAAAGTCATATAACCTGGACACCACCATCATTTGATAGAAGCTATTCAAAGATGCCCGCCAAGAACCTGAGAGTAAATAAGTGCCTGTTTGAGGGCTGGCCTGAACCCAAGCTTATCAAGTGAAAGCAAACACTGAATACTCTAACAATTCATTATTAATAACAATAAGGATGGGGACCAGATTCATGATCTCATTGATATAGAAAACTTCTATGATAATTTCTTGAAGTATGATGTCCAGTTCCTTTTTTGATCATGGCTTTCAGGTAGTCCAATAATTCTTATATTATCTCTCCTGGATCTATTTTCCAAGTCAGTTGTTTTTCCAATGAGATATTTTACATCTTCTATTTTTTTCATTCTTTTGAATTTATTTGATGTATTCTTGATGTCTCATGGAGTCATTAGCTTCTACTTACCCAATTCTAATTTTTAAGGAGTTATTTCCTTCAGTTAGATTTTTTACCTCCTTTTGCATTTGGCCAATTGTACTTTTTAAGGAGTTATTTTCTTTGGTAAATTTTTATATATATTTTTCCATTTTTTTATCCTTCCTTTATCAAGCTGTTGACTCTTTTTTCATGATTCCCTTGCATCACTCTCTTTTCTTTTTTTAACTTATTTTTGATTTATGGAATAAAACAAGCATTTCCATAACACAATACAATAAAAAAGATGATTGTACATGAAACTGCAAATCTACTATGCACAACTTGCTATTCCTTTCAAATATACAATGAAATTCTCACGTAAATTTCTTTTTTTCTCCCCTCTCCCCTCCCCCCAACCCTAGAGATGGCTACCATTAGACACAAATAGGCATACACACATACACACATACGTGTAAAATTATTCTATACATACTTCTATTTATCATTTCTTTCTCTGGCTGCAGATAGCACCTTTCTTTACATGTCCTTTATAGTTAATTTGGGTATTTAAAATACACGAAATAACTTATTTGCTCAAAGTCATTCTTAAAACAATAAGAACTCATTTCTTTTCTCAATTTTTCTTCTATCTCTCTTATTTGGTTTTTACAATCCTTTTTGAGCTCTTCTAGGAGTTCTTTTTGGGCCTGAAACTAATTCGCATTTTTCTTTCAGGCTTTGAATGTAGGCATTTTGACATTGTTGTCCTCTTCTGAGTTTGCGTCTTGATTTTCCCCGTCACCATAATAACTTTCTATGGTCAGGTTCTTTTTTTTGCTTTGTTTTGTTTTACTTATCTTTTTCAGACTATTTTGCTACTTTTAAAGTTAAGCTCTGCTACTGGGGTGGAAGGGGAAACTGTCCCAAGCTTCTCGTGCCTGAGGCTACAAGCCCTGGCTGCTTTCCTGGTGTTGCACAGTGACCATGGGAAATCTGGCCTCTTGCCTAGTGCTGTGCTAAAGGTTGTGTGGGATCTGACTGCTCACCTGGTGTTGCACTGAGGCCCTTAGGGCAGGAGTGGGCGGGTTCCATACTAGGGCCTAGGGATAGAATATGGCTGCTCACCTGGTGCTGTGCTGGGGCCATTGGGGGCGGGGGGAGAGGGCTGGTCGCTTATTAGCCCTACACTGAGCAGGGGTGGGGGTGTGTGGCTAGTGCTTCACTGGAACCCATGGCGGGGGAGGGGGGCATGGCTGATGCTGCACCAGGCTGCAAGGGAGGGCTGGCCACTTGCCCATTGCTGCCCTGGGGTTGTGGGCCCTCGGTCACCAACCTGTGCTGGGGCTCAGGGCCTCCCCCAGGCTTGCTGAGGTAGGGCCTGATTCTGGCTCACCAGCCGTGGACTGCACTCCCCTTTTACCCACGTAAGACAGACCTTTCCTGCTGACCTTCCAAGTTATCTTAGGCTAGAAAATTGTTTCACCCCATTTTTTGTTGCTTCTGCCATTCTAGAATTCATTTTGAGGTGCTATCTTATAGTTGTTTGGAGGTGAATATGGGAGAACTGAAGCAATTTCCTGCTTACTCGACCATCTTTGCTCCCAGAAGTGATATAGGAAACTTCTAGATTAGGAAATTCCCTCTACTAATTCATATCACCAACTGCTCTGCAATTTATAGTCTTGAAAAAGTGCCTAGAGCACTTAGAGAATAAGTGAACTGCCCATGGTCACACAGACAGTCTGTGTCAGTGGCAGAAGTTGAACTCAGGTGTTCTTGGCTCTGAGTCTGGGTCACTATCCACTACACCATCCTGCATTCCAAAATGAGAGATGCAAAAAGGTGCAAAATGTCATTTTCCCAACTTTCATTTTGGAAGGATATAGTGCTAAAATATATTATTAATTGACTTCTTTTAATAGCTTTACCTCTGAGGTAAGCCCAGAGGCAAATAGGGTTGTAACCTGTGACACAGAGCAAGCTTCAGGTTTATTTGGATAAGGTTCAACTGGGGAAACTTCTTTCTGCAGGATTTTTTTTTTGCTGTGCCCCACCTAGAACTTCCCTTGAGAACATCAGGATCTAGCTTGTGCCTAGATGGGGCCCTGTACTCCCATGCAAGTGTCCGGACCAACAAGATATTTAATTTAACCTGAACAACAACATAAAGGATTGAGCCCAGAAACAGCCAAGACAACTTTTCTTCCCTCTCTGATGGGTCTTCACCTCTCATAGGGATCTATATAGTCCTCCAGACTTACCTACACTAGATGAGGCCCAGACAGGGGAAAGAACTTGGGGTTGCTAGAAATTAAGGGACCCATACTTTTGGTATGTCCTATATCTCAGATACATATACAGACATACGTGTGTATTTGTAAGTATATGTATATATATGAATATATATATAGTTATATATGTATATATAAATACATGTATAATATATAGTGTATTATATATGCATATATAACATATATTGTATATACACTTAGAGAGAGAAAAGAAGAGAGGAGAGAGAGCAGAGACAGAGAAAGAGAGGAGAAAAGGGAGGAGAGAAACAGAGAGGCAGGGAGAGAAAGAGACAAAGAGGGAAGGAGGGAAAGAGACAGACAGAGAGGGGACAGACAGCAACACAAAGGCAGAAAGAGACAGAGAACAAGATCCCCCTACCCTGGGTGGGATGGGGAAAGTAGCTGAACTATTCAGAAGTTCTCTATTCAGTACATATAAATCGCTCCATTAGTGAAGGGCAAGGACTAAGTTTGTTCTTCCACATTTTGGCTCTGTCTCTCCTTGTTGCACAGTTCTGACTCAGTTGATGCAGTTGGCCCAGAAACTCCTCTGCTTGGTCCAGAATTTCCTCCACTAGGTCTAAGAAGCTTGGTTCAGGAACCCTTTGCTGGCCCAAGAAATCCTAGATCCCTCTGCTACTGATGTTCTATTATTCCCGGCTCCAGGTCTTATACTTCCCAAGTTAGACAGACCTTTCCTGCTGACCTTCCAAGTTATCTTGGGTTAGCTCCATTTGGCTCAGGAACTCCCCTCCGGTCCCTCCACCTTTGGTTCCATCTACTATCATCCTGGAGCACATGGTTCTCTGGGGATAGCACATGGATATGAAGATATACAGGTCACCCTTCTAGAGAAGTGAGTCCTTGTCTCTACGCCTCCTCTCTTCTCTCTTCCTCTAAGACAGGGTTTTTCTCTGTTTCTGTGTGTGTCCCTATATCTCTGCTTGCCAGACCGAGTATAAAGATGTAACAATGAAGATGAACAGGATTATGAACCGGACATGGACTAATCAACCCTTCTTAATGAGGCATCACCCCATGGGAAGAACCCAGGGCCAGGTAAGAATACACCTACCCAAGAGCGAATCTCATCGAGAAAATGTAATCCTTGGCTAAGGAGATATCCAATGCCAGAGCACAGTCCTCGTCAGTGAAAGCAACAAGAGCCCAGGGGAAAAAAACTTGGGTATACTTACTACTTCTGAAAATAATAAAAATACCTTGCGTTTATCTAGTGTTTTAAAGTTTACAAGGCACTTCATATGTGTTATCTCATTTGACCCCCCACAAGAATACTATTTCATCCCTATTTTAAAGATGAGAAAGGGAGAGGTAGAATGGGGTAAATGATCTCCCATAAAACACAAGAAAAGGCTTTTACAATGGAGGGGAGGTGGGGGAAGGTGAGAGGGAATGAGTGAATCTTACTCTCATAGGATTTGGTTTAAGGAGGGAATAACATACACAATTGGGTATGGACGTCTATCTTACCCCACAGGAAAACAGGGGGGAAGGGGATAAGAGAAGGGAGGGTGGTAGAGGGGAGGGCAGATTAGGGGGGACAGGGCAAGAGTTCACATGGTGGTCAGAAGAAGCGATACAAGGACACTCTCAAGGTCTCTCTTAAGAACTCTGGAATTGATCGTGAGACACAGGAGAGGCTGGCAAAGGACCGTTCAGCATGGCGTGCCCACATCAGAGAAGGCGCTGCGCTCTATGAGCAAAGCAGAATTGAAGTAGCTCAAAAGAAACACGAGACGCGCAGATTTAGAGAACCTGCCCCAAATGTTCACATGGGCTATTTGTGCCTGACCTGTGGTAGAGTAATCCAAGCTTATGTTGGTCTGATCGGTCGCAATCGGACACACTGAAACTCTACTCTAGCGTAGTGATGTCATTGTGGTCTTCTTCAAGAATGAAAGACAAAAACCAACCATAAACTTACGTAGGTACATGCTGTGTCTCCCAAAAGCATGTGAACTCCTTGCAATAGAGCTTGTTGCATTCTAGCATTTGTTTCCCCAGAACCCAGCACAGGACCTCGTAGACAGTGAGAACTTAATAAATCTTTGTTGATGGATTTATTGATTTCAGAGGAGATGCATATCATCTAGTAAACTGGAAGAGCTATTTCCTAAGAGATTCCTTGAATAAGTCTAACTTATTCCTTGAATAAGTCTAACTTGCTTGCTAACACAAGCAAGTGGTCTGCTTCCAGAATGGTGTTTACTCACCTTGAAATGAGACCTGATCTGTAACCGCCTGATCTCAGACCCTTGAGTTCATTCAGTACTGTGTCTATTGGCAAAAAAGCTGCAAAAAGGCAATGACAATCATGACTGAGGTTTTAAAAGCATTGACTTGGCTTTCTCAAACTGCTTTGTATTATTCACATTCAGAAGAGTACTGTTGGTGGTGGTTTGGGCTGTGGGGGTTGGAAGACTGCCTAACAGTTGTGCTTTCATAGGTATTTTAAGAACCACATTCATTCCACCCACTCTTCTACGAAAACATTCTCTGTAGCTTTCTGGTTACCTTAGTGATTCCAAAATGGGTCTGGGCAAAGGGAAGGCAAGGAGGCAGGGAGCTCTTCGGCTACTTTCTTGACTTTCCTATTGGAATGGCACTTGGATTCAGATTGCAATATCTTAATAAACAGAGTAAATTATTAGGCAAGGTCGAAAGGGACAGAATAAACCAGGAGATGGACAAGTAAAGATGAAAAAGAAGCCTTTTCCTTCCATAATTCTAATTTCCATGAAGTTCATTATAACCAATTTTCATACAACTCTTAGAATTACAATGAAGATAATGATAATAATTATTCATATTTTATGTACTTCACATATTTCAGGGTGCTTTCACATATACTATCTCATCTAATCAATGCCTTTTTAAACCTTAGCATGCTGTATTAACATGAGTTACTTTTATTATTAGGGTAGGCACTCAATATATCTAAATCTGAATATTTACGGAAAGAATAAATTAATTGAATCCTCACCGTGACTGTAGTAAGACAGGTATTCTATCCCCCTTTTACAAAGAGGGAAACTGAGAGCCAGAGAAATTAAGGGACTTGTGTTAGAGCCAGCTTGTTCTAGTTCAAGAGAGCCAATTGTTAAATTTTCAAAATGAGCATTTATTTACATCTGGAAATGTAAATGCTACAAATCAAGGTCTGATTTTTTTTAATCTTCTAGACTTATGAAGACAATAGAGAAAATGTTAATGACAATAAGCTTAAAAGTTTGTTGTGGGTTTGAAAAGTCAGTTGTTAAATATTTACCAACATACCTCTACTTAAGGCTAACAGTGAATTAGTGAGTCAAGATTAGAAACTCAGTATCTTGACTCCTAGTCCAGTGCTCTTTTCACTATATTTTGCTGGGTTTCCAAGGTTTCTTTTTTATTATTGAATCCTAAAATGATACCCTCAGTGACATAAATTTAAATACTCAGCCCTCAAGTAAAAGAGTTTTTCTAGGCCCTGTTGTCAAAAATTTCCCTTCTATGCATGCAGGGGCCCTCATCCTTTCAAGGTCCCTTGAACACTGCAAGACACACCACACAATGTTACATGAAATCTCACATTCAACTCCTCCTCTGCACTGCATCCATTTTTATATCCAAAAGCTCACTGTCCTTTAATAGCGATTTAAAGATAATGCAGATGTCACAGGGTCTTTCTGTTCTCCTTAGCTCTTCCTAGTTCAGTGACTAATAATATCTGACATAGCCTCTAATCACAAGAGACCAATATGAGATTGCTACATCTTCCCAAAGCTGAGTCTTTCAGAGCTGAACCAGAGCACGAGTCCATTCCCACAGAGCCAGAGCATGCACGCTTGCACCCTAGGAGGCACCCCAATCCAACAGGTCCTGGGTTCTCCCTCTTAACACTGATAGATGAGGCTTTGGGAGAGGCATTCAGTAAGGATGATGATGATGATAGAGATAATAAATTTCAAAATCACCCAAAGGGCCCTGTGCTCCCATGGGCAATGAGACACTGATGTAGGACAAGCTTCTTAGCCTGAACAAAACCACAAATGACAGAGACTATTAATCCGTCAAAACAACTTTCCTTTTCTCACCACCAAAATTAAGTGATTCATTGGATGAAGGATACTAGACATAAAAAATGGATTCCCAGCACATTGTCCAAATGAAGAAAAGTGAAAGAAACCATCCTATATTCCCCAGATCCTGGGCCCATGGGTTTACTTTTGCGTGGATTCAACATACAATTAACCCTTCCACATCATGACTTTCCTAGTCCCAGTTTGGTTATATCATTAAACGGGAATTTTTGAGGAGTTTTGTAGAAGCCACAGACGACACATGAAGGCCAGCAGATGACACAGAAAAAGTTTAGAAACTTAGAAATGCACAAAATATATGTGTTGAATTGCATGATATCAACATATTTTATCATTTAATACCATAATAATTCAGATTTCATCTTTGGTACAAAGGGAGGGCCAAAAATTTTATGTGGGTTTTCTAGATCATGAAGGTGCTGTGCCCCTAATCCCTGTGATATAGAAGGGATAACTGTATTACAATCTGTTTGGAAAATCCTGACAGCAGATCTGAATCTATCTTGATATACCACCACAGTGAAACTGCTGTGGTACCAGATAAGGATCCATTACACCTGAAAGAAGAGGACAAATTGGGTTGATCTCTGAAATAAATATTAGACTGGAAAAAACGTATGGAATCAAAGAGCCAGAATAAAGTGCTGAAATCAAAAAATGAGAGTTTGTGGTTGATATTTCTCCTTCACATAAGAAAGGACCTCATGCTTCTCCTCACCTGAAAGTCCCTACCACAGCTAACTAAAGTGCTCTGGCAGGAAACCACATAGGTGGCCTGACTTCAGATGTTATCAAAAGCCAAGCAACATCATCCCCAAATTATGTTTTCAACATATTTACTGATGCTTTGAATTTCCTCGTACCTGGCATTAAAGTCTTCCGCTCCATAATTACATATAAGAAACAGAATGTCAATGTTCCTAGGAGTGTTAGGATATTGATCTCTACTCATGCTAAAGTATCAATGAGTGACAGCAGTCTTTCCTAAGAGCAGCTGTTGCTAGGAAGATGGACGATAGAACATAGTAGTATTGGTAGCTTGATCTAGATGAGAGAAAGACTAGGTTGCTCAGAAAAAAGTGAGAATTTACCTACTTCTCAATGTTACCAAGAGGTTAACTTGTGAGTACCAACCCAACTCACCCACCTTTGTCAACTGTGGGACCATCTTCTTAGGCTTCAATGTCTTCACCTATAAAATGAGGGATTTAACTAGAAATTCTCTAAGGCCCTGTCAAGCTTTACATTCTACAGTGGAAAGAGTGTGGGATATAAGTATCTGGGATTGAATGCACCCCTTAGTATTTCCTTCTTGTGTGCTCCTGGACAAGTCACCCTCCCTGGGCCTCAGTTTTCTCCTCCCTAAAATGAGGGCATTAAACTCGGGCCTCTACAATATCTAAGTCTACAATCCTGTAATGATGCTTCATGGCAGGTAGATGGCACAGCAGACAGAGCACTGGGCCTGGTCTGAGGAAGACTCATCAGCTTGGGTTCAAATCCAGCCTCAGACACTTACTAGTTGCAAGACCCTCGGCAAGCCACTTCACCTTGTTTGCCTCAGTTTCCTCATCTATAAAATGAGCTGGAGAGGGAAATGGCCAACCGCTCCAGTATCTCTGCCAAGAAAACCCCACAAGGGGTCATGAAGAATCTGAAATGACTGAGCAACAGCAATAAAATAACGTTGCTCCAGATCAAGCATTCCTCTCTCACCTCTTCCATCAAGGGAAGACCATTTTACCTGTCGGATACTCCCTGGGACTGCGGTCAAAAAAGTCACTCAGCATCACTGCTTTGCCATATCTTGGTCTCCCCTCCGTCCTCTGTAAGCTTCACAGGCACAAACGTATGCCTGCAGCACAAAAAGTGGAAAACACGTGGCCTCCTCCTGCCTGTGCTCAGGGGCCAAAACATCCTCTGTTAAGCCTTGTGCTAATAACTCATTCTCCTCTCCCACCCCCATCCTTACCAGAAACTGAGAGGCAGAGAGGCAAGGAAAGGACAAAAGTGGGGTCACTCCCCACTATTTACCTGCATTCCAAGCATGAAACTCATGTTCCTTCTTCTTAAGAAAGTATGGAACATCTTTCTGATTAGGTTGTGAGTTTTTCTTATGACTAAGAAAAGAAATCACCAAGGAAATCAGAGCCAACTCAATGGGGAGGCAACTCTAATAGGTAACAGAATTGCTTGGAAATAGATACAACTAATTAGATTCCTTGCTAGATGGAAGCAATACTCCTGAATGTATTCAGAAGCCCAGCTGATAAGACACAATGAGACAAAAAGCGTACATCAGAGAGTGAACTTGAAGCGTTTGTCTTGCAGAAACTCAAACCGCAGCACCATTGTTTTGCTTCGCACTTTCCCAAAATAGACTGAAGACTGTCAAGTTTAGGGTCTTAATTACAGGAGGTTAATAAACATGCAGGATGCTAGAAAGCCTGTAGGAATCAGAATCAGTAGCATCTGGCTACATATTCCAAAGGTGATGAGCACATCACAGACACAGGTGCTGATGATGACATTCCCCTGAGGTCTGCAGCACAGATTCCTTCAAATGCCCTCATAGCTCTGGGGCCCTTTGCTACTTCCTGAATTTGGGATGCTGCTGGGGGTCTTCATACCCCAAACCTCTGGTTCAAACCTCCTAATCTTCTTGCAGAAAAAATACCATTTGACACATGAAATCATCTATAAAAGGCATCTACTGAAAACAAGGCAGCAAGGGAAATCAATGACATTTCTTTAAGCAGTCACTTTTTGGCTCCCATACTACATGCCTGCCCCTACCAAACACCTTCCAAGAGCATTGGTTTCACTCCTCAATTACTCCCTCCTTGGATCTCAGCCCAAGAAGAGCAAAACACAGCCAGTCCGGACTTACGGCATGGGTGTGACGGGTCAGCAGCAGTGGCAGCAGCCTCTGTCAAAGCAGCAAACCTTAAGAGCACTGGCTTGTTGCTATGGTGGCCAGGCAAACCTTTTTTTTTTAAATTGAAACAACAATTAGAGAGTCATTGTCACCTATGCAATCATGCTAGGTCCAGCACAATCTAGGCACCACCGTTCCTTCTCTCTCTTTTGTTTCCTGCATCTCTCACTCCTGAAGATACCCTGCCCCCAATACTTTTCCAACCTCTCCTTGTAGGTTTCTCATGCAATGAATTCAGAAATGGGAGAATGGGGAAGAGAATTCCATGAAATTTCATGCCTATATATGTCCCTCTTAAAAGTAGATAATTTGAGACTAAAGCTTCATGGGTAATTGTTTTTTTAAAAGATGGCCTTCTGTAGGTTTAAACCCCATAACAGTCTGATACAGGAGTGAGGAACTTGCATGTGGCCCTCTAGGTCCTCAAGTGTAGCCCTTTGACTGAATCCAAACTTCACAGGACAAATTACTCCCCCCTCCCTCCCCGGTCTGATAGATACAAAAAGAACAAAGAAATTCATGTCGATTTTCAACATTAAATGCCTGATGATAATAACTCATATTTATAAATAACTCTGAAATTAATGAAGTACTGTAACTATTTCTTTTGATTTGCATGGTAATACTGAGGGAGTAATGATAGGCAGTCATCAGATTTAGAAATGAAAGGGTCCAACCACCTTAGACAATGAGCTCCTTGAGATCAGGTACTGTCTTTACCTTTCTTGCTGTCCCTAACAACTAGCACAATGACTGGGACGTAACAGGTGATTACTAAGTGCTAGTTGACTGACTGACTGACTGACTGAGCCCCTCATTTTACACATTGAGAAACAAGCTCAAAGATATGAAACGGCTTGCTCAAAGTCACATCATCAGCAAGTGATATAGTCTGTATATGAGGAAGTCAGACTCAGTAACCTGAAAAATCCCTTCCACCTTTGATCTATGACACTAGGATTCTATGGCCTAGGTCTTCTGGCTCAAAGAATTCTTCCTACTGTAGATTTCCTCTCTAACTTAATGCCAGCCTCCTGGTTGTCCCATGAGTGAGATCCTTCATCTCTTGGCTCTGGGCATTTCTCTGACTGTCCCCCAATGTCTGGAATGTTCTCCCTCCTCAGCTCTGCCTCCTGGCTTCTCTGTCTTCCTTTAAGTCCCACTTAAAATCTCATCTTCTACTGGAAGCCTTTCCCAATCCCTTTGAACTCTAGTGCCTTTCCTCTTTTAAATCATTTCCTATTTATATTGTATATAACTTGTTTGTGCATATTTGTTTACGTGTTGTCTCCCTCGCTGGATAGTGACCTCCTTGAGGGCAGCGACTGTTTGTGTGTGTGTGTGTGTGTGTGTGCGTGCCTGTGTGTTTTATTTTGGTTTTTGGTTTTTGCCTCTTTTTATATACCTGGCACTTAGCAGTGTCTGGAACAGAGTAGGCACTTAATAAATTTTTATTGACTGACTGACTGACCAACAAACTAGATGCACAATTAACATCATCAGGAAGTCATGGCAGCTAACAATGCAGATAAGCCCTGGGGCTCCAACACAGTCAGCTAAAGCTACACCTACCATACAATTTTAGCCAAAAGGGATAACTCTCTCAATGTAAGTAGAGAGTGGGCATGCAGGTGTGCAACAAGAGAACAGCCCTAACACTAGCACAGTTAGAACTGTGCTATCAAACGCTGCTCCTACTGAAGAACATTAGCCTCAGGCTATATCAACCATCATCATAGACATTTCTAGCGATATAAGTGATTCCTTTCTCAGTTTGCTAAAAACAAGAATCTTTGAAATTTCACAAACAAGATGATTCTAAAGGATATTGTCTTCTGGAGTCTCCCCCCTGCTTCTCTCCTGTGGTGTCTGGGTCACTGAGTTATTTTGTGTCTCATTCTGGGTCACCCTATTTAAGGGAAGCAAAAAGGACATGTATCCTGTCTTTGTACTCCTAGAAAAGCAGAAACATATGAGGAGTTTTACATGCCTGTGTTGTTTGTGAAAAGTGAGAGAGAAGTGGGGTACTGGCTTAAACTATGAGTGATAAGCCTGGATGATAATTGGTCTCAAAAAACCAGACTAAGCTCTTTTCTGAGAGTGTAGTTTTTAAGCTCCCCATGTCTTTATTCTCAAGTAACCCTTCCCAGAGAAGATCATATCTTTTCATTGTATCTTTGATTTGATTAATTTAAAATAACCACCACTACTACCATCCAATGAAAAATGCTCATTGTGCAAGATTACTCAAAGAAGAAGAAGACATAAAAGTTATGGGAAGGAAAAGAGAATTTACTGGGATTGGAAAAGCAGAGATTAGCACTGCAAAAACTCTCCACTGAATTGTAACTGAATTCAGCCAACTAAGACCAAGTCATTCACTTTTTAAAATGTCCTTGTCCCATTTGGCTTTGCAGAAAATATCATTGAAACATTTCTTAGAACAACTTCGAAAGGTGACAGACAAGCACTTCTTAGACCAACACCACCTAGGATGACAGTATCCTCATATGTAATATCAGTAAATTGGATCAGACCAATTGGACCTCTAAGGTCTCTTCCAGTTTGAAAGCTTTAAGATTCTATGATCCCAATATCAGGTCCATTAGCCTGTTACAATGGGACTTGCTTGATGAAATCTCACTGCATGACCACTTGGACTTCAGTTCAGGGACAATCTTTTTTTTGGTGTTTTTTGTTGTTGTTGTTGTTTTGGCTAGGCAATGGGGTTAAGTGACTTGCCAGGGTCACACAGCTAATAAGTGTTATGCATGACAATCTTGAGATGGTTCCAAACACCTACCTTTGGACTCCTTTTCATTTTTCTACTATATAACTTTTCACTCCTTTGAAAGGGACCAATAAATATTTCTCAAAATATAACTCAACCAAATGGAATTCAAATATAATTCACCATCTAGTTCTTTACCTGGAACTCTGTTCCTATTGGAATAAGACAACTTACAAAACAAGGCACTATTTATTTCAGATTAGTCATCAATTCATTTATTTTTTCCTAAAGTGAGGATAATAATAACTCTAATTTAAACCACCTTGCAAATAAATCTTCCCCCAAGTTCTACTGGCCCAACCATGAGCAATAATAGTAAAATAATGAAGTCAGCTTCCTTTCCTACTAGTCAAGTAAAAGTAATATTTCCTCAGCACAAGATTATGTGTAGGACAGACATAGCAAAATAAAAATGCTTTTCTGAATTATTTCTAACTTCATTGAGGATTAGAAACAATCTCTTGCAATGAGTCAATAAATTGGCTTGGAAGAAAAAATACTTATTGACATTTTTCTGTCTGAGGATATTACCAATCTGTCCTGAGAAACTTTCTCTGGTACTAAGAATACCTTTTAATTCCTCCTACAGAGATAAGTTGAGATGCTTCTGTCTAGTTTAAACAGATAAAATCCCACCTCTGGAGGCTGCACATACAGATTGTGAAACATTTCAAATGTACATTCAAATGTACAGAGATGATATACTCTGGAAGGAAGTTCCTTTCTTGAATTTCTTTTCCTTGTTTGTATCAACTGTGGGGAGGGGTGAGGAGGAGGATATACATGGCCATAAAAATTGAACTGGATGAAATCCACATTGCTTTAAATTGCTTTATGATGCTCAGCAACATTAAGGATGTAGAAAGCAGCAACTACAAGCAGTAGAGAGAACAGATAAGTTATACATAAGGAAACTTTATGAAATAGTCTCTTTAGTTGAGTCAGTGCTCCTGAGCAGAATACACATTTAAATCTGGAAGGGACCTTAGAAGTCATCCAGTCCAACCTCTCATTTTATGGATAAAAAAACTAAACCTTGGAGAGTTTAAGTGACTTGTCCAAGGTCATACAAGTAATAAGTGGTGGTGTTGAGATTTGAATCCACCAAGTCTTCCAATTCACAATTAAATGTTCTTTCCATACTGTTAGAAATTTAGTGCTGATTCTTTAATGGCATGCTAGGAGACCTCAATCACACCATATTACCAGACAGTGTTTCATTTTCTCCACTAAAAGACATAGGTGCCAATCCTTCCTCAGATTATGATCCTGGGGCAGTCATTTAACTTCTCTGTGCCTCAGTTTCCTTATCTGTAAAATAATGGGGCTGAACTCAATGGCCTCTAAGGAATCTCCTGGCTCAAAACTTAAAGATCCTATGACCTCCTTTATGAGACTATAGTACATTGATTTTCTCACACAATGGCAGACGGTACAATTATTAAGTGAACAAATGAATTAGAAACTTTGAGGAAAAGTGTCATAGATAGGAGTGGATGCAGACTCCTCAAAAATGCCATTCTGCCTATTTTTCCTCTCTCCTTCTAGTTCTGCATGCATGAGATACCATAAAGTATTATGAAGAGAAAAAAGAATCCATGTTCCTTTTGTCCAATGCCTAGAAAATCACTCCAACGAAACCACCTAAGCTAAGGGCTCACGGCTAGCATGCCTCTCAGAGGCACTTGAGAAACTATCAGAGTAATCCATGAGGTCAAGAAGAGAATAAAGGCAGTACCATGGACAGAACTCCCTGGGCTAGATTTGACTTTGAGTATTTGTAAGCCTTGCCCTAACCTACAAATAGACCTTGCTGGGACCTACGGATAGAGTCTCCTTGCAAACCCCCTCTAGGGAATAACAAGAGGTACAATCAGGTCACAGCTAGGATGAGGAGAGGTCCTTGTGAGAAAGAGGACAGGAATAACACAAGAGCTAACGACGCTGGAGATTCAGGTTATGAAAGATTACTTTGCTCACTGCTGTCAGTACTGACGTAGTTTTCAAAAAGATTGACCAAGAGTCTGTTGGAAGACTTTTGAAAAACTCCTACCACTGATTCATTAAGATAGTCTTGATTATTCTCAAGTCAACTGGTGATATCATAAGGCACCTGCAGAGAAGTATGCAGTTCAGATAACAGAAGGAGGAGAATACATAAATTAGCCAGTGAATTATTTGAAATAATAATAGCAATTTATTTACAAAGTGCTTTAAGGTTTACAAGGCAACTTTCTCACAACTACTGTGTGAAGTAGATAGTGCTCGTATTAGTTTTGTTTTCCTTTGTTTACAGGTAAGGAATCAGAGACCCAGAATGTTTGAATGGTTTTCTAATGGTCACAGAGCAAGTAAATTTTGGAGCCAGGTTTCAAACCCGGGTCTGCCGACTCCTAATGCTGTACTTTCCACTACAGAAAGCTCTGATATAGCTCTTTTAACTTGAAAAAAGGGAAGGAGGAAAGGAAGGGAGGAAGGAGGGAAGCAAGGAGGAAAAGGGAGGAAAGAAGGAGGAAAGGAAGAAAGGAAAGAAACAAGGAAGGAAGGAAATAAGTGTTTGTTAAAAACATATTATGTGCCAGACACTGTGTTAAACACTTTGCAGATATTATCCCGTTTGATCCTCACAACAACCCTGGGAGTCAGGTGCTATTATTGCTCCCTTTTTTTTACAATTGAGGAAACTGAGACAAACAGGGGTTAAGTGGCTTACCTAGGGACACACAGTTAGTGATAGTCTGGGGCTGGATTTGAAATCAGGTCTTTCTAACTCCAAGTCTAGCACTCTATGCAATTTTACCACCTAGATGCCTTTAGGATAACAGTCCTGTTTATGTACCTTAAATAGAGAAATGAGACAGTTTGGTTTTGTTATCTGTACTTTATAAAAATGGGAAATAATCATTTTGCATTCCCAATATAAAAACTTTATGCCAGTAGGGAGGGATACACTCCAGTCTAACAGGAAGAGAGCCACAAGCATATTTACATAGGCCTACATAAAATGGCAGTGTTTTTTCAGGTAAAGATTCTGAAGATCATAATTTTCTAATCCTCCTACCTGTATTCCACTCAGAATCACTGGCCAGAAGTATAAAGCAGAGGAAACGGATGACACATAGACCAGAGGAAAGATGAGAAGGGGCAGTGAAGGTCACCAGAAATCTTTGCTCAGCTACAGTTTAGAGAACACAGTTACCCATGGGCTGTTTCTTTATGGCAGATTAAAAAGGACTTCCAATAAAAAGACCAATTGACATCACACATGCACACGCACAATGTTAAGTTAAAAGGAGAGACAAATAGGAAAAAATCCAATGTCTTTGATGGTTTCTGTTCCTCTCTGAAGCTGCTTTGCTTAATGTTTGGTGGGGCCAGAGACCATTTGGGATCTCTGACCCCCGGGTGAGGTGTGCAGCTATTAATGCATATACGTTTCATTTCCTAAGTCTAAGAGGGTTTGTCCTTCTTTTATCTCAAGCTGACTTTGTTTTCATTCATCTCTCCTCTTAATCTAAACTTCACTTAACCATTATCTAAGGACACCAGCTGAGTGCATTTGAAGCAGTGCCAAAAAAACATGAGCCTGGGTGCCTGAGGCAACTCACCACTCCTGCATAATGTACAAGTTCAAAGGGAGCCAAATATTTCCTCCTGTCGGGCCGGGGTTTCTGGGAAGTTGAAAGACTTCCCAAGATGGCTGTCAAAGAGTTTTGTCTTGAACGTCTTTGCTGTAGGCTTTGGGAACATGCTCTGCTCTTCAAGGATAACCAGGATGTCCACTGGCTTTTGTAGAGACATAGAGAAGGGACACATTAATTAAAATGGAAATTAATCTGTAACAGCATCAACAAATCAATCAACAAGCATTTATTAAGCACTCCCTATGTGCCAGGCACTGTGCTAAGCATTGAGGATATAAGGAAGGACAAAAATAGTTTCTGTCTTCAAAAAGCTCACATTTTCATTAGGAGGCTACGGCAGCAGATATATTGATGAAAGAAACAAAAAACCTCTCAGTAGGATCAGAACTAGGCCAAAATTGTGTTGCCTGCTATGAAAGTATAAATACAATTTTACCTCTTAAAAAAGTAGCTTATTTCAATTTCCATTCCTAACTGCCTAGACCTAACTTGACTGTTTTTATTCATTGTTATATGTCCAAAAATGTGTATCACTGTCCAGTGCAGGCTTTGAGCCTTCACTGTAATATGCAGCAGTACAAAATAAATATTTATGTGCCATGGAGAGCAGAATTGTCTGGCACTAAAATAAATGCTCTTATAAAAAGTAATATTCAAGATACTCTGGAATCTGCCCACCTCCTGCCAGAGAAGTGATAAACTCAATATGCAGAATGAGACATACATTTTTGGCCAGCATGGGATTTTGTTTTGCTTGACTCTGCCTATTTGTTCCAAAGGTTTTGTTTTTGTTTATTTGTTTTTGTTTTTTTTTTAATAGTGTGCGTGGAGAGGTTGGAGGCAGATAAAATAAATGCTCATAAATTGAAAGATAAAGTTTAAGTCAAATAGCATAAGGGGGAAAAGTAATATTAAAGTATTGCTTATTTTGCTTCCCCTCCACACACACCCCACCGTATTTCAAAGTAGGCAATGGTCCAACCTTGTCTATCCCTGGTGCCAGCTCTGCTTGGAATCCATACCGTCTGCCAAAGGCAGGGCTATCTGCTGCTGCCCACATCAAGGCAGACTCCATTCCAGTAGCTACCACAGTGCCCTGCATGTAGTAGGCGTTTAATGAATGTTTAATGAATTGAATTGCCCCCAAATGGTGCACTGGGAATCCTTAAAGACAACAGCATATGTTTCAATATTCTTGATTTACCTTATCACATTCAGGGATGACACGATCATTGATCTGGAACTAAAAAGGAACAAAGATGTCTTATTTAGTCCAACCTCCTAATTTTACAATGAGGGAACTAAGATCAAGAATGGTGAAATGACTTAGCCAAGGTCATACAGGTAAAAAAAAAATAGCAGGGCCAGGATTCAAATCCAAGTGCAAAACCCCCAAATTCAAAACATTTTCCACTCACTCAGTTACTCCTCACCACCAATTTGGCTTCCAGTCAAACATATTTGTCATCCCTCTGCCATTTCCATGTTTTTATGCATGTTATTTCTGCTACCCATGATGCCTTTCTCTTTATTCTCTGCTAAATTGTCGATTACCCAGATCCTTATTGAAAATTCTATTGTGTCTGAAGCCTTCCTTAATTAATGCCAAGCTTTACTCATCTCATATACGTCCTCTCTGCACTTGTATATGTTACCATCATCTGGATTATTTATGTATTTATTTGTAAGTATTTTCTATTTTTTCCTCCTAGTGTTTGCCCTGGATGCTGATTTCAGTTGCAAACTCTAAAGCAGAGACTGCAGTTCTCCCTTTCCTCTGTATATTTCCATAGCCCTAGAACTGTGCTCTATAATGAGTATTCAGTGACCATGAAGTTGTTAATTGATTAGGCAAATCAATTTCTACTGCACTGAAGAGCATCCAAATGCCATCCCTTTAACATAGCCATCTAGGCTGCACTGCAGACTAGCACAATGTACAATGAGGAACATTACAAGGCAGTTGATTTCTACTAAGCTGCAATGAATCTTTGGTTCTCAGCAAAACTGGAAGAAAAAATGACAAACTATACATGTTTCTTCCTAGATTGTAAACTCCTGGAAGACAGCATCTGTGTGTAGCTTCTGATAGATTTCTTTAAAAATCAGTTTTGTTACTTTGTAAATATATAAATGTACATATGTATATATATTATATATGTATGTGTGTGTCTTATAATATTGTATTTACTAGACTTCAAACTCCATGGGGGCAGGGATGAAGTCTTATTTAAACTCTGAATCTTTCCCAGTGCCTAGCACAGTGCTTTGCACATAGTAGGTAGTTAATAAATATGAGTTGAATGAATGAATGCTATATTAAGTATTATGCACATTATATATATTGTAGGATGATTTGTATCCAAGTTCTTTATAAACTAGAGTTTTTCTAAACAAGGAAGCAAGTAGAAGACATTTCTAAAGCATTTGATATACACAGTACTTATAGACAAAAGTAACTATACACTTCAAAAACAACGTAATACTCTGTTCAGTTCATGGCTATGGTTTTTTAAGTTGCCTATTTTATCTATTGTGGGCAGCTAGATGGTGCAGTGGAAAACACAATGGTGGTCCTGAAGTAAGGAAGATTCATCTTTGTGAGTTCAAACTTGACCTCAGACACTTACTAATTGCATGATGCTGGGCAAGTCACTTAACTTTTTGTTTACCTCAATTTCCTCATCTATAAAATAATCTGGAGAAGGAAATGGCAAACCCCTCTGGTATTTTTGCCAAGAAAACCCCAAATGGGGTCACAGAGTCAGACACAACTGAAAATGACTGAATTAATCTTCCATGAAATTAATTAATTAATTAATTAATTAATGACTGAATTATCTTCCATGAAATATTTTTATATTAATAAAATTGTAAAACTATGGCAATTTTTACTTCACCCTTTATTTAGAGTGACCAAAAATTAACATAACACAACATAATATGATATAATATATGATATGATATGATATAGCAACATAAATAATATGTAATATAGTGTGATAATATGATGTGATATGATGAGACATGACAATATAATGGATAACATAAATGATACACAGTATAATATATAACACAGTATAGTATAGTATAGTATAGTATAGTATAGTATAGTATAGTATAGTATGGTATGGTGTGGTATGGTATGGTGTGGTATGGTGTGGTGTGGTGTGGTGTGGTGTGGTATGGTATGGTATGGCATGGAATAGTATAGCATAGGATAGGATAGGATAGGATAAGATAGGATAATATAGCATAGTACAGTATAATACAGTGTAGAATAAAACACTCCAGGCCTATACTGAAATATTTTTGGATTTGGGGAATTTTCTCTTAGGTTCATGCTTCAGCATGAGCTAAATCCATGCAGTGGCTTTAATCAATTTCATTTTTACTGATGACTTCCCTCAGATACACTGGGCAAACATAATGGAGTCTTCCCAACTCTTGAGCCCTTTTGAGAAAAATTGTATATTCCTCATGCATGTGACCTGAATGCCCTTGAAACTAGTGAGCATTTCTTCCATTCTCTCATCCTTTCCTATCATTAGAGAATGCTATAGGAAATGCTGTCTGTAGAGCTGGAGTGTCATTTAGGAAAAGCAGAAGTAGGTAAGGAAAAAAAAAAACATTGAATTCAGACTAAAAACCGTGAACATTTACAAGGCTGCCTGTCACTGACTATAGAAAAATTGTGTTCCAAGTCCCTCAAGTACTGAAGACTAAAGAATGCCCCATAAGCCATGGACAGAGTCAGTGTGGCATGGGGCAAGAGTGCTAGCCCATAAGTTAGACTTGGGTTCAACTCATGGCTGTAACACTTTTGAGGTGTGTGATATTGGGCAAGTCTTAACCTCTCTGAGCTTTTATTTCCTCATCTATGAAATGGGAGAATAATACTTGTACCCCCTATCTCTTCAGGTTAATTGTGAGGATCTGAAGCACATAAAGTACTTTCTCACTGTAAAACACTTTATATGTTGTTATTATTATTATGTTATTACAAAAGACTATATATGTTATTTGTTAATACCATTATTTTTGTTGTCATATCACAGATGACACTCATCCAAAAGATGAATCTGACCTCTTTAGCAGTTGCAGACCTCTCATTCATACAATGGGACAGGCAACATTCAACCTTACTAATAATCACCAAATGCTTACTGACCCATGAACTTTTATCTTTTTTTTTTTATAAACTTGTCCTCCCAACAGGAGATTTACTACTTCAGTCCAGACCTGAGATTTCATTGGCTTAGCAAACTCACAGTATAGAAACTCCCTCCACTGATGCAGATTGGAAATTTACTTGTAACTTGAAATCTTAGAGACTTGTCTAGGGAACTGAGAAGATAAGTGATGGTCCTTCATCATATAATTAGCACATATCAGAAGTAGAACTTAAGCCAAGGTCATCCCAACTCCAGGACCTCTATTATTCCATAGTGCTCACACATCACTGTTCATATCTCATATTCATCTCTCAGTCACTAACAATATGATAAACTAGAGAAAACAAAAAGGGCTGAACTGCAAGGCAAGGGGCTTGAGTTTTGCCATTTATCACCTCTGTGACCTTGGATAAGTCACCTTAACTTCCTTGAGTCTCAGTTTCCTCAGATGATGGAACTAAAGTAGATTCATATTAATAGCTGACATTTATATTACCCCTTTAAGATTTGCAAAGTGCTTTTCAAATATTATCTCATTTGATCCTCACAACAATAGTGGGGGGGTAGGTACTATTATTATCTTCTTTTGATAGGTGAGGAGCTGAGACAGACAGAAGTTAAGTGATTTGCCCAGGGTCCCTCAACTAGTAAGTGTCTGAAGACAGATTTACACTCAGGTCTTCCTGACTCCAAGTCCAGGGCTCTAACCATTGAACCACATAGCTGTCTCAGATTATGTCTAAGGTCCCTTCCTGTCTCTAGATCTATTATGCTGTGAAATCAATAGGATGAGTATTTGCCTTGGGAAACTATTTTCCAGAAAACCTTAATGTCATCTGAAGCCTTCTGGACATAAGTCATCTGATACAAATTGATGGTCAGAAGACAGAAAAGGACATTGAGAGATCATCTATCTCCACCCCATAGAGGGGCTGACGACTGGATAGGGTAAGTGCCTGGAAGGTGCTTTGA